CATTGTTGCGGAATCATTAACAAAGATGTAAAGCTTAACTACACTAGAGGTAAGTTATGTTAACATAAATATCTTTAACCTGATTTCTTAAATATAACCTATTGTACTAACTACTAACACAGCAATTTCCAAAGTTATTACAAAAGAAACTAGGAGGATTTTTTTTTTTTTTGGGGTACAGTGATGCCTGGAAGTTTAAACATCATACCTTCCTACATATAATCACCACCAACCCATTACTATTGGCTTCCAAACAAAAACGAAAAAGACCATTGATCTCCAAAGTTTGCATGCATCCAAAACATATTCTGTGAAGTCTGTATATTTTCTCTTAAGGAAACTTCAATTTCTTTCGTAGTACTACATGGTCTACAATGAGACCGAAAATTATAGTCTTGAATTGAAAATATGCAAAACTGGGATAATTAACTCCATACAATTCAATAAGTGAATTAAATCCATTTAAAATAATAATTGATGGCTGCTCTAAATTTAACATGGCAAGAGTGAACTGCTAGTGACACTGTCCTTGCAAGTGATGTCAGCATTACCATTTCCAAACATTTTACTAAGACTCTTCTCCTGATATGGTCGTGGTTGTGCTTGAGGCTTCAGTTCCATGTCAAGGTCTGGGTTCACCTGCAGCATTAAAAGAGTTATACCGCATGAGTCATAGATAAAATTTAAACTTCATGAGCATAAATTTGCAGCAGGTTAACTCTTAAACATTTTGATTGTTATCGTCAGTTTTTTAGCAGCACAAATATATAAGGAAGTACTCACTGTATCATTTCTGAAGTCATACTCCTCCAACATGGGATAATTTAATGCATTTGGCAAGCAACGCTGCTTTACATTTTCAACCTGCAAATAAATCAGAGAAAAATTTAAATAAAACACTTTGATGGAAAGTAATTCTAATTACTCTATTCTGACTTCAAGTAAAAATCTATTCTACTCTTTGAAATAACTCTCAATAATGGGCCCAGTACAAAACTTTGATTTTCTTTGATGCATCTTGCTGTGAAACTCAAGGACTATTTTGGCACTAAATTATTTGGGTACTGGTGAATTATGAAAGACAATCCACGTGCCCCTAATAGCAATAAGTATTTATACTTATCACTGTTGCAATTAAAAGCACACCGACCAACATCAAAGCTGCATCTTAGAGAAGTAAGAATATAGCATTAAACAGTATATAGCCAGTTCTAAATCTAATAAATATATAAATTCATTTTTTGGTCATTTAAATTTAATGCAATTAACTCACCTATTTCGTTTTAGTGAGGCTTGAATGACCTAATTCCGCATCATTTTTCAAGACAAACGACAGATCATTGATACAACTTTATGGTCCATAACTTGGTAACATGATGTAAAATCTAAGCAACAAAGATACAACATAGGACACAGAAACAATCCGAGATAGACATGGAAGTTTTAAAGTCTTAAGACATGACACAGTTATAATACACATTAAAATTTAATCTAAAATTAGCACAATAAAATTCTACAATCACAAGAGAGGATTCATGTTTTAAAATGAGCATGAATCATTGTAAGCATATAATAAAATACTAAAGTATACTAATTATTATTGGTATTCCAATTTGTATTGACATGAAAATTTAAAACATAAAAATTATAAAATGAAGGTAGAAGTATTCAAAGTATTGTGCGCGTCTGAAATGGGTCTAACACAAAGGAACTGTTTAGAAGTGTTTGTGCTTCTTAGCATAAAATAAAAAACAAATAGCGATAGTAAAAATTAATGCAATATTCTCCAAAAGCACACAGCTAATAATTACCTGAGAAGGATCAACTTCAAATGAATGGGCTTCTTTTTCTTCTGCAACAGCTGCCACTTCTGCTTCGTTTAGCAACTCATCATGGGTGCCTTCAATTTCACCTGCTGCTTTGCTGATTGTAAATCCATCTCCATTTGCACTCTGAAAAAATAACACCAATAAGGATTCTTAATTTTACTTGTACATGGAAATTGGGAAGGGTTGGTTAGCAATAGGAATGCACACAGCAAGACGTAATACAATATTCTTGGTAACATAAGTAAAGGCAATTCACATCCGAAAATGCAAATATTTAGAGGTCCATAATCTACAAAAGGAGAAAAGACATATGAACAACCAATTCAATACAATATGGAAAAGAATGTCTAATGTAAGCAGTAGCATTATCAAAATAGAAACAGACAGCAATAAAGAAGGTCAACAGGAAAAAATCCGATTATATTTATCTGGAAGCAAAAAGCGCTAAACAAAAAGGTCAACCTAAGCCAACCCAAACAAATTGAATAGTACCCCACAAAACAAAGAGTGCGAACAAAAACCTCAGAAATAATCCTTGACCGAGATATAGCTTCATCCCTGAGCAATGTCTTTAGTACCTGCCAAATTTGTTACGATGAACCACATGAGATCTTACCAGAGGAACACAAGACGTGGGGAAAGTGAGAGCAGCATTTATATACCTCTGGAAATGGGGATTCAACAAAATAACGATTCTTCTTGAGCACGAGTTTCACTTTACCATAATTTGCAGTAGAATCATGTATAAATTTAATCATCTCTTTGGGAAGCTTGGTCTTAGATAACTTGTTCAAAACAGCTATGATTGTCTCTGTTTCTAGACCAACCGAAACTGCCGCATAAAGCGAGTGTGGAGTAAGATTGTACTCGTGCATCGACTCCGGCCTACCAATCATCATCACACATACATAAGTACGATCCCAACAATTTGACAAGCCACTACACTTTATTTTCTCTTTAACACAAATATTTTCTACCTGCAAACAGGCTCGGCGATGGCAATAAGAAAATCATAAGCTTGCTTGTACAAAGGAGAGAATGTCTCGAGAAATATGCGACCATTGCCACACGCCCACAGAGGGCGATTGGAGTGATCCTGTTTCAGCTCCAATTTGCTAAAGTCCTTGGTTTTTCCTTCTGTTTCACGCGGAAACCCTCAATTCATTATAATCGTGCTCGACATAAACAACAATCCCCAAAAACAAGACTAATTCTATGGGGAGGTTAAATCTTGAAACGAAATAGAGATAAAAATAGATTGTGAAGGAACATTACCGTCATCATCGTATGCATCTTCGCCGCCATACACATCGTCATCGTCGACGATTCCTTTTCGGGGATCTTCCTGCTGCAAACAGTGTGAGGAACGTAAAATTTGACGAAGAAAAAGAGAAAGAAAGGAAGAAAGATCCAGATCAACTAACGAATTTAGAAGAAGCCTTGAGCTTTTTGAAGGGTCGTCCTTTTTCACCTGTGAATGTGAAATCGAATGAGCATAATTATTGCATATAATTATTTATTTGATAAATGGCTTAGAAATTTAGGATGAATGGTGAAGTACCGTGTCCCATGAATCCAATGAATTATGTTAGGATATGAAATTTTGGTTAGTTTTTTTATCTTAATTTTTTACTTGCTTTCTCTCTGAAGCTTTGCTGCAACCAGGAATTGAGAACGATAACAAAAGCGCGACCGAATCTGCATATTTATACATCCGTTGCTCCGTTACTGCTAATAACTGCGAGGGAAAAGACGGTGCAGGTCGCGTCCGAATGCACCCCGTAACTATATGGGCCGGCCCAAAACTTTCGTTCTTTTTAGCTAGGAGTTCTTTGTTTGAAATGTGGAGTCATTATTAGTTGACAAACAAAACGAGAGTGTGGAGTTATTGACAAAATAAAATCTCTTATATGGTTGAGTTAGACGCTTATGAAAGGTTTATGAACTATAGATGCTGAATTCAAATCCTGGCTAGATAAATAATATAATAGAAATATTAAGACTAAATTATATTTTACATTTATGAGAAAATTACTCTTAAGGAATTAATGCATTCCTTGTATGTAATTCTTTATTAACGGAGTATTTGATTTAAAGGAGGAGAGGGAGAGAAAATAATTTTAATTAAAGAGATGGAAGGTAAGGGGAGGGGGAGAAAAATAGACTATATATGTTGTTTAGTTGATTAAAAGGGAAGAGAAGGAATATAATCTTCTTTTTATTTAGTCTTTGAAGGAAGAAAAAGAAAATTACCTTCTTACTATACCTTTATAATAATAAACAAAATATAATTCAAATATTTTCATAATTTATTTACAATTATAAAATAAAAATCATGCAGAATTATAATAAGTAACAAAGTTTATAATAGAAAAATGAAGTGGAAAACAAAATAATGTAAATTGGTACGCCAAGTCGTAAGGTAATGCTAGAAAATACATTCGCCCGTTCGCCCACACCACACTTCACCCTGAATTAAATTAACGAGCAGTTTTCGGAGAGAAAAAAGGAGCAAGTTTATTTTCATTGATTTTCTTAAAAAACTAAGAGACAAAGGGTGGAAGAAAATTGGCAATCCAACATTACTTTGACTTGACTAAGATAGCATTGTTAGCCATTTTTACGAAGAGAATTTAAGTTTACTGCAGGTTGCAGCCTCACGTCCAATTCAGCAAACACCTTTGTTTGGAAACGACAAATTTGAGCACAAAGGACAACCCCCATTGCAGCTAAATGGATCCCCTGCAATGCCATTTCTGATAAAGGATCACCACTACTGAATAATGATAAAGACATCAAGCTTCACTCACAAGTAGCCTTTATTTTTCTAAATTTAATATTATAAAAACAATCCTTACCTTAACCCTCTTATAAAGAATATTATTTTTTAATTAGTTAATTAATTTTAAATCTCAACGGTAGATGCAAATCAATGTTAGAATGATAGTACAATATTCTCTATTTATATATTTATTTTATCATCTTCGTCATCGTATATTAATTATTAATTAAAGAAGGCGAGGAAAGAGTGAAGCGTTGATGAAGTGAAAAGCAGAGGAAATGAACGGTTGAGATGTGAGGAAGAATTATGAAGGGGTAAGTGGAGGAATTTTCAAAATTTCCGTGCAAGTCTTTTCTCGTACACGTAAACCTCCCTGCACTCGCACACACACCAACACATCATCATGTCAAATACCAACGAAAGCAACTACTCACGCAGTTTCTTCTTCTTCTTCTTCTCCTTCTGTTGCTGAATTCCGATTTTTCAATTCTCAATCTCAAGGTACAAACCTACCTCATCAATCCTTTTCTTCTCCTGATTTCGGACTCATCGGTTCCTCATATCCTATCTTTTTCCTTGCTTTTCAGCTCAACTATTCAATACTGTTTTTTAATTTTTAATTTTCGTATCCAATTATCGTTTTTTTTCCTCTCTTTTTTTTTCGGTCGCTTGATGATAGTTTTGAATTGAATTCCTTGAAATTCCGCATAAAATTTACCTGTTACGCTTCTTTATTAATCACTGTGTTTAAGTTTCGAATTAATCGTGGCTTATTCTTATTGTTTTGCTTTGTTTAAGTGTTTTCCTTTTCTTCTTTTCGAACTGGTAATTGGTCTTGATGAATTGGACTGTGCTTTTGAAAAGCTAGGTATTATTACTCTCTTTCGGCGAGGTGGAGTAATTTCCACGCACGCACGCACGATCGTGAATTTGCGATAACTAAATTCCTTTCTCTCTCTCCTGCGTGTGTGTGTATATATATGCTTAAATGTAAAATCCTGCTGTTAAATTAATTAATTAATTATCTAAAGGGATTGGGCATATATATTTTGATGAAGGTGAAAAGATGCACCCCGTGCCAATAGCTATTTTCCGGTGCTGGAGATAAGGCGTGATGGGCGGTTGCTGCTGTTGTTGTTCTTCTAAGGAGACCGTATTGAGCGCTCCACCTGCGTATTATTATGTCAGTATATTTTTCTTCATATTTGAGTTTTTTTTTTGTGTGTGTGTGTGTGTGTGTGAAGCATTTAATTTAATTGTTGCGGGATATGCATCGATTTCACTGCTTTGATTAGGTTACAAAATTTTCCAATAATTAATATTCATTGGTGTCTCGTCAGCTAACCCAAAAACGGAGGTGAAGATGCTTATAACTCGGTTTGCTACCTACCAAGGGATGGTCATGGTTTAAGTGTATTATCGATGAAGTTTGTCATGTGGGAAAAGAAATGGATAATAAGTTAAGTAGATGAGTTTATGGTCCTCCATATAGAAGCATCTAATTGATCCTTCAGTGATAACTGAATACGATCAGTTACGTCTTTTTAGGAACTAATTTGATGTCACTTTGAGAACTAATTTAACGTCATAACAATATTGAAAGACTAGTTTGATGCATTTGTGAGTGGAGGACCAAGTACCAACCTGTTGACACGTAATTTTTAAGAGGGTTGTAATGGATAATTTGCCCTTGGTATAATAATTAGAACAGATAACGTGGACCTTTTTATGTTTTGTTCGATGAGGTTTTGAAGTCTGAATTGCTTTCCATAGTTTATTCTCTTTGGTTGTGCAATCAATAGGTTATTAATATTGCTTTATTTGTTGCATTCTCTCAGCAGTATCCTAGAGCATCAGATGAGCATGTTCCTCTATCATCTCACCCGGGTGCTGCTTCTGCTTTCTCTGGGAGGCTCTTGGTTGACACTAATCTAGATACTTCGAGTCCTGATACTTATAGACCTCCTCCTGCTCCCATCCCTTTCAATGTTACCACTCAAACTCCACCTTTGGCTCAAGAAATTCGTGGTGACAAGAACAATACATCCTTGCATTCTACAAATTCGAATTCTAATTCAATTCAAGAACCAGTTGCTGGGGACAATCATGGGACCTCAGTTAAGTTGGAAGACCTAAAGGAATCAGGATGCAAAGTTCAGACTGATCTAGAAATAGATTCAGCAAAGGATTCTGAAATTGAACTTCCAAAGTTGGGAGAATCTATAAATTTAGAAGAGGAGGATGCATGCCCAATTTGTTTAGAGGGTAATGTTGTCACAACTTTATTTAATGTCTTTAGATTATGGTATTTATGAAGCCATTTATTATGTGACAGTTATCATATTTTTGGTTAAAATTGAGAATTGTTGATGGACGTGTCTTTTTATTCTAGCAGAGTATGATGCAGAGAACCCAAAGCTTGCCACAAAATGTGATCATCATTTTCACCTTGCATGCATTCTGGAGTGGATGGAAAGAAGTGAAACTTGCCCTGTGTGTGATCAGGTATCTCCCAGTCATTCCCAATTTCCCATCTATCTTGAGATCTTTGTAAGATGCCCTTACGAATACGATATTTTTTTCTTTGATGCAGGATTTGGTTTTCAACCCTCCCATTGAATAATACATAACGCAGGAGTTCAAATACAATGTGTAGCGTTTGAGAAGCTAAATTACAAAAACATGAGTTCAATATTGTAATCCGTAGCAACCCGAGCGTATGGCTGTATTTTGATTGTTTTGGCTTTGTAGTTTCTTGAGGGTTTATTCCATTTTTTATGCATAGTCCCTTGTGTTGGTTACAGGAAATTAAAGGAAAGTAGAATGATCTCTTTTCATAGTTTTTCAATTAGAATGTTAAAAGTGATATCTGGATACTATTTGCGAAACAGATCAATCGTTGCGATATTTCGTTCTTCTCTTGTTGTGGATTATTTGACTCTTGTTATATTGTCAGAGAATGATAGAATGCTCGCGCTTTCTTTGTACTGCTTTCATCTTGTATATAAATTTTTTTGGTAGATCCATAATTTTTATTTAAATTATGTTATTCTGTAGATCGCATGGAATGATGAAGACGACAAATTATAGTTGTTTGCTTATTCCACTGCCGTTTTGGGTATGCTGTCGCTTATTGGTTTCCCATGGAAGGATGACCTGTTCCTTTTCGAAAGAAACATGCGGATTAACGACGGATTATTATACCAGTTGTGTTCATAAAGGAGAGTCTGCTGGCAAAAATTTCTTTACCTTGTGTGGATAAAGAGGGTTAAGGGAACGTTAAAACACTTTTTAATATATTTTTAATTATTAATTAAAATTTATAAAAGTACAATAAAAAATATTTATTGAAGTGTAAAATTTACATGATTTTATTATTTTTAATAAATTTAATCTATATTATAACCAATGTTTACAGTTAGCCAAATGCCCGTTTGGTGTGTTGCGGCTTGCATTGTTGGTTATGCTCCCAGGTTGCTTTAGTTCATGACTTTAGGTTTGTGGTAAAAAAAAAGTGTCCTGAGATGGCAAAATCTAATCCGTAAAAAACTCAGTTTAAAAGTGAGCTAGTTTAAACTATTTTAAGTTTCTAGCTAAATCTGCGTAAGAGTGGGCTAGCGGGCTAATAGCCTGTCAAAAATAAAAAATTAAAAATTAGTGAGCCATTTAATTAATAGGTCAGTCTACCAAAAAAAATTACAATAAATAATAATAAAAATATTTTAAATATCTTTATATTAATAAAAATTAATATTTAACTAATAAATAATTATTTTTTAAATTTTAAAAATAAAAAATGGGAATCGACAGACCAATTTGTCTCGGCCTGCTATTAGGTCGCATTTTGACAGATTAAAACATGATAAACTAAATGGATAATTAAATTTAAATCACTCCGCCAAACTCGTCAAATTTAGTGAGTTAAACGAGTCAACTAGTCGAGTCAAACCCATTTTGACAATCCTAATTTTTGTATACTCATTAAAAACGCAATCATAGTTAATGGTGTTGAAATAAATGTGAATTTAAAACCATTCAAACTTTACAAATATATATATATATATATATATATATAAACTAGTAAATATGTCATACATTGTACGGGTTTGTTTTATTTATATTAAATAAATTTATGAAATATTTTTTTATACACAATATTTTTTGTATATCCTACATATTTTTCATCATTTTCAATACTAAGAATTTTTATTCTTTTTATTATCGTTACGGTAGACATTGCAATGTATAACTGATCATGACTAAATAAAGGTTTTGACAAATATAGTCTAACATAATTTAATGATTATCCTTAACTTTTGTTTATTGTTATCGCATAACCTGCCTTTATTGAAAATTTGTTTTTTCCTTAAAAGAAAAAGCTATTTGAAATTACTTGTTGTCAAAACTACATGCGAAATAAGTATTTTAACATCAATGTTGCTTCTTGTAATTATTTTTGCTTCAATTATCCACTCTTCTAAATGCATGATAAGAGGTCTTGTTCTATTATATATTCCTAATATAAGATTGATATTTCTAAGTAGCATAATTGATATTTCTTCTTTGAGTTGCAAGCAATGGGAGAAATCATTAAAATTTAAAGTATTCAAGAATTATACGGGATATATAAGCTTTTATTCGGTGATTTTATCAATTGTTTTGTCAATCACATCAAAATTTCTATAATATTTTATTGACTCTTCAATCATGTTTATAATATAATTATTAATATTATTAACAATGTCATATAAAGGAGTAAGCATGACTCTCTCTTGAATATATTTTTCATCTCACATTTGTTATTAAAAATTTGGATATGTATTCTCAAAAATTTGTTTGATTGAATCCTCTATTGGCTTAAGTAGATATTAACTTGAAATTTTTATTTATACGAGAATGTTTTCTATTTCTTTACTAATTGTTAGTATATTTTCATTTCAACTTTATATTTAATTTATAATAAAAAATATGATATAACATATTTAATTTATAATTTGTATGATATAATATAAATTATAAGAGTGGTTATTATAAATTCTATATATGTATGCTCAAATTATATTTATAAATAAATCAACAAATATCATTATAGTTTACAATATTAATATCAATACATGCGTGAATATAATTTGATAATCATTTTTCATATGAAATAAATAAGTAAATTAATTTTAAAATATGAAATAATTTTAAATAATTATTTAATCAATTTAACAGTAATAGAATGAATAAAATTAAACTAATCTTTTAAAATTCTAGAAGTAATAAATTAACATAATAATAGAACTAATAATATGTTGAATATTAAAAAAATATTAATAAATAAATAAGTAAATTTTTAATATATTGATACATATTATTAATTTTTTAAAATAAAATATAATAAATAAATTTTATACAGTAGCAATTATAATAAATTTTAAAAAATATATAAATAAATATCAAAATAGTTAAAATTTTATTAAGACTCTCTAAATTTTTAAAAACATTTAATGATAATATTAATAAATATTTTATTTACTACTTAAAAAATATTCTTTTTATAATTATGAGGAAAAAATTAATTTACAAAATTATGATACATAATAAATTGATAATAATATAATACATATTTTTAATATTTTTTAGTTTTAATTATTTATCAATAAATAAAAATAAATAAAATTGAAATGCTAAACTAAAAGGAACATGTTAATTAACTAAGGTATAAATAAATTTTTTTTATTACTATCATAATTTCATTAATAATAATAATAATAATAATAATAATAATAATAATAATAATAATAATAATAATAATAATAATTTCAATATAAATACATAAAAAACCTATAAGGTAATATATGCAAATTAAAATATTTTAGTTTTTTTTACTTTTAAATAAACAAATTTATTTATAAAAAAAATATCATACATATTAGAACAGTACTATAGAATTAAAATGTACATAATTTAATATTTTTTAAGGTTAATTATATTAACTTAGAATATTTGATAGACTAAAAAAAATATTTATGATAAAATTATTAAATTAATTTTAAATAGCATAAAATTTCTTATTCTTAAAATCTAAAAATAAAATTTAATTATTTTATAATATTATAAAACTATTCGTTATTATAAAATTTTAAAACAAATAATTAAAACAATAACTTATTAAATATAACAAAAAAAATTTAATAAGTTATAAAGTTTAAATAAATTACTGTATAATTTTTTACTTATGCATTTATTTATATTTTTTAACCTAAATTTATATGATAAATTATTTATTTATAATTATAATTTAAAATTGCTAATAAAATGTTAATATAGAAAATATTTTAATAATATTTTAAACATTAATATTTGTTTTATTATTTTTTCAAAGTACATTTTAGGGTTAGAAATATATATTTAAATATAGAATATATAAAACTAATTGATAAAATAATTTAAATTAATACTGTTAGAATTTAAATAAAAATTAAAGCAAAAATAATTTTTTTAAATAAAAAATAAATTGAGAATTTTATTAGATTTTTTAAAAAATATTTTCATTCATTGGATACAATTTTATTTTTAATTAAAAGGTAACTTAAGAACTTTATTAAATTTTTACAAAAATATATTTATTCATTAATTATAATTTTATTTGAAAATAAATTTTTAAATATTTTATATAAAATATTTTAATAATTTTGTATTAAATATCATTCACAATAATTTTGTTATTATCGTTTTTAACATTATATAATCATCAATTTTAATATTTTTTTTTAAATTCAATTCAAAGATAATAAATATGAATCAAATATAATTTTAATTTATAAATTATAGAAAATATTATTATTAATTTTAATTATTTTTTATTTAATACAACTTATAGTGAATTATTTTATAAATTTTATTATAAATATATAAAATAATATAAAGTTAATATTTATACATAGAAGTGACTCTAAACATTCTGAATTTTAATAAGTATATATTTTATTGTAAATATATAAAGTAATAAGTATGTGTAACATATAGAGTAATGACTATGTGCAAAATATAAAATTGACTTTATACTTTCTAAATTTTAACAACCATAATTTTTATAATTTTTTTTATAAAGGCACAGAGTAATAAGATAAAAGACATATATATAATAAAATAAAAAATTATTTTATAAAAGATAAAAATGTTTGGTGACATTTTACTTTTCAAATTCTACGTAATTTTAAAAGTATTTATACAGTATTACAATAAAAATGGTTTAATTTTCTAAATCCTCCATTGTTGCTTTTTTGTTCACCACTTTTTGCTTCGTCTTCCTTAAGTTGCAACCTAAAAAAAATGTCAAATATAAATTATTGTATGATCTAAAAAATTTGAACAATATATTATAAATTTATAATTTATACATTAATTTCTTCATTCTTTTTAGTAAATTTGATTTTAATTTAGGTGAAAAATTTGTTACTAAGTCATTTTCTTTTGTTTTCAAATTTATATTATCCAAAATTTCTTCTTTCTCAATATGTAAAAATTAAATAATAAAAATAAAGTTATTCATCATCGTATTATAAATGAAAATAACGAAACTCTAATTTAATCTTTTATATTACCTTCACTATCGACTTTAAAAATTTATTTGCAGTGAAAATTTTTCTTCCACAACTTTTAAAGTAAATACTCATTTTTATTTTAAAAATATATGAAGTACCAATAATCTTTAAAAGTCACAAAGGCAATTTCAACCCTTCACCATCACCCTTAAAAAATTATCACATAAAAATAATTATTTTTCTAATATATTTTATTTATGTAATCAATCATTTGATTAGATTTTCAAATAAGGTAGAACTTAACATATTTGTTTACAATTTTAGATGTTACAATAAAGTCTTTTAATTTTACTTGTTCTAATTATTTTTGCCATTGCCAAAATTTCAGATATTTTTTTAAAATTTTCTAACTTAGAAAGAATCGTAGATTTTGTATTATCAACATTGTAATTAATATGCACATTATTAAAATCCCTACAACAAAGTGATAATGAAAAATTGAAAATGTGGTTAAAATAAAAAGTAAAGAATTAACAATAATTAATATAATAGAAAATTTTTAAA